TCGGACTCAGAACTGACCCATGAACGACGACGAGATCTGATATGAAAACGAAACACGCGAAGCGTGCCAGAGCCTTTCCGTTCTAAACGACGAGCTGTAGCTCGGTGGGAAGCCCGACAGTGCTTTTTGGATTGAATTTGGATCTTTCTGTTTTCGCGCCATGTCCGCGCTCGCATTTCGCGACGCGCGAAACTAATCAACTTGCTTCATCGGACCAACACAGGGGATTTTTGTTTTGTCTGTGTCCCCACACTCAATTTCCAAAAATCCTTGGCACACCCCTTCTTGCTGTTTTTTTGGGCCTCTTTTCCGCACAGTTAACACTCCGAACGGAAGATAGCACAGGGCGTGAGGTTAGTATCGAAGTCGACACGTGTCGGTTCTGATGATAGTAGGCCGAACTGGCGAGAGGTAGGAGAGACCCTCAACTAGCTCATCGAGATCGTCCCGTAACCAGATCTACATCTGGTGTTGTCCTACCAATTGTACCAATGGTGGACGGTACTAGGGTGATTGTTAGCATCCCCGCCCCCTTCCCTTTCTTCCCCAACCATACCCATCCCGAGGCTTGGCTGAAAGCTGTCGAAGCTCAAAACTACAGCGCAGCCGATCTTCCCCACGTTCTTACCTTGCTACTTCGCAATACCTCGCATGAGTGGTTTAGAAAGCATGCATGGGTAGATTGGAATACCTCCAAACAAGCCTTTTCGGCTCGATTTGATACAGTCAGTGAAGATGTCGCGTGGTACATACTTAAAAATCGGCCACAAGGACCGGGAGAATTGTTGCCCGATTTCGTGGATCGATTTCAAACCACGCTGGACAAATCTGGGCGAGACGAGAAGTCCCCTCGAGATCTGTTCATCGATCACCTACGAAGTCCCGCGTTAAAATAGAAGTTGCAGAAAAAAGTCCCGCCGAAGGTGCACCCGCTCCCCACTATCATCGCAAAAGCACTAGAACTGGACCTGGCCGATACAAAAAAATATATCAGTCAGGGAGACGAAGATATTACTGATACTATACGGGATGTAGCAGCAAAAAGGCGATCATGGCTGCAAGTGGTAGAACGGTTCTATCCTCGCTCCGACCATGATCTCCCCGAGAGATCTGTTTCCGATACCCCGCCCGTCTCTTCTCCCCCTCCCCCGGTGAATCAACCAATTGCGACAGTCATGAGTGGGATCCCACCTGGATCCCCCTCGCCAGCCGATACCAACTTACATCTTGCCCAGATGATCCATACAGCCACTACCAAACAGTCCGAATGGATGAGTAATTTGATCCAAATGCAGGCCACCCATATGGAAAGGATGGAGCAGATAATGAGCAGGTTGATCAAGCCTAACCCGGCCCCTGCTCGGCCTGCCCCTGCGTCATTTCCACTCCTACCTGCCCCACCTACTCCAGGTTACGCACCTCAGTTCCCTCATCTAGCGAATCAGGCCAGAAAGATTGAGTGTTTTAACTGCAAACAGCCCGGACATTTCGCCCGCGATTGCCCGCAGCCCAGGCGAAGTCAGCACCCACCTGCGGCGGCCCCCGTGGCCCTGAATCAAGGACGAGTGGCCGCTTTGATGGATACGAACCAAGGAGGAGAACTCGGGGCATATGCCCCCGAGCAGCCTTCCCCGTCGTTGATAACAGCGTCAACCTCGGGAGCTTCTTCCTCTGACGCCGCTAACGTGGTCGACCCTCTCGAGTATCTCCATCTCGCAGGCATTATCGGAGCAATCCGATCGGTCCCAGATGATCTTAAGTGGGACGATCGCGAATCCAATCCAGAATCGCAGTTTCGGACAGGAGATATTGACGTACTGAGAACACTCAAGCAGTTAGACATTCGTGTGCCCGTCCCAGTGGGACATCTGCTCACCATATCTGAAGTGGCGAACGATAAGCTTCTACAACAATGCCAGAAAAATCAAAAGCGTTTTACTTATCAGCACATACAACGGATGTTGAAGACGAAGGAAGGAAGCGCGGAAGTCGCATCTCCCGAACCTGACACAAAAGAGCCCGAACCTGAAGCCGCCCGTATAGCAGCAATCTCTTTAGCAGAAAAAGATCACTTCGTACGAGCTCGACCGGCGCTATGGAAAAGTGCGGAATGTGACTGTGAAGTTTGGGGCAAGCCGTTTAATGCCCTTATCGACACAGGGTCGTCTGCAGTGGCCATATCGTTAGATACCGTCAAGAAGACGGGGCGACTTGAGTCCATTCTTCCTCAATCTGGCAAAGACAACTATGTCTCTGCCGACGAGGAAACAATGAACATTGTAGGGATTATCGAAAACGTGGTTGTAAAAGTCGGACGAGTACACGTCCTAGTTAACGCACTTCTAATCAACGTACGTTCCTACTCTGTGTTGTTGGGATTACCTTGGGCAATGGCTGTAGGCGCACGATTACATTTCGATTCGAAACAACTAGTGCTCACGCAAACCGGGGGAAAGCCTCAGACAGTTCCTTTGCGGGTTTCCACCCGAACGATAAAACGAGTTCCTAACTCGCCCCAAATAGCGATGATCCAAGGTATTGATCCCGAGGAGTGCTCCCCCTCGCGCCTCGGGGATGGAATCAGGGAACGAGAATACGAAAAAGAGATGCCCAGTAAAAAAGAATGGAAGCATCTGGTTGAACTTTTCGAACATGAAACCCTCGAAAAATTTCGAGTATGCCCCGACACCACTCGAAGCTTCCACGTGGATTCTGAAGACAGTGCATTCACGTGTCTAGCAACCCAGGTCAGTCCTTCAGTCCTCCTCGGGGAACCCATATTACAAGTTCCCGACCTGGCTGATGATTTGGAACCCCCTCGCACATTATACAAAGGAGCTCTTTCCTTACGAACGCGCTATCAACGAACGCGTTATCAACGAACGGAACAGTATTTGGATGTCTCTGTTTTTCCGCCCCGACCGTTATTAACAACAGGAGCCACCATCGCCTTGATTACACAAGAAGCGGAAGCACCAGTAAGTGACGTAACTAATCTGATGCAAGAAATTACGGATCTAACAAGGCTAACTCTGGAACCAACTTCGGTTGGCTCAGGAACCAACACTGAAACTAAAGAAACAAAGATGATCAGCCCCACTGAGTCCCCGATGATAGCAACTGTCTTTTCTGTTCGCACCAGTAGTTCCGTTTTCTCTAGTGTCCATGAGCGGCAGGAACGGCCGGTTGATTGGATCAATATGCCCCTTAATATGTCCGGGGAATCGACGATCCCCCTCCCGAGTCACGTTCCCGCGGAACTTCGGAAGTCGTTAATCTGTGTATTAAATAGTTACGCAGAAGTGTAGAGCGTGCAAGACAATGATATTGGCTTAACTAATGTAATTGAACATGCTATTCTCACGAGAGATCATCCGCCTATTAGCTGCGCTCCCTACCAATACTCGCCAGCTCAACGAGCGGCCGCCTTTCGGCGGATTAAGGAGTTCGAAGCTAATGGATGGATCGAACATGGTCTTTCCCTGTAGTGATCGTACCTAAAAAGGCTGGAGGGATTCGCATTTGGATTGATTATCGAAAACTAAATGAAATCACGATTAAAGATGTGTATCCCCTCCCCCGGATTGATGAGTTATTGGATGCAATTGGGGATGCTCGATTTTTCAGCAAGATTGATGTTCGTCATGGGTTTCATCATCTTCTTGTCCGGGAAGAAGATCGGCCGAAAACGGCCCTTGTGCTGTTTAAAGATACGTGGCAGTGGGTTCGATGTCCGATGGGAATTTGCAATGCGCCTACCACGTTTCAGCGGGCCATGAATATGGCTTTTCATAATTTCGTACGGAAGGCTCGTCTAGCGCAGAGCATCATCAACTACTGCGTGATTGAGTACATGGATGACATCCTAGTGTATTTGAGCTCCTACGAGGGACACGTGCAGCACATTGAATGGGCACTTCATGCGTTACGAGATGAAGGTTTCAAGGTGGCGCTTGAGAAGTGTCAGTTTTTCCTCACCATCATTCCCTTCCTGGGGCACGTGGTCACGGACAAGGAACTCCAACCGGAGCCGCTGAAGGTGGCAGTTGTTAGGGACGCGCCAGTGCCTACCACTATCACGCAAGTTCGCGCTTTCCTATGCCTAGCCTCATATTACCAAAGAATTATCAAGGGCTTCGCGGCGATTGCGGGACCCCTCACAAATCTCCTGCGAAAGGATCAGCCCTTGATCTGGACGCCAGAGTGCGATCAAGCGTTTTCCAAACTCAAGGTTGCTCTCATTTCGGCTCCGGTCCTTATAAGACCAGATCCTGAAAAGCCTTTTGTTCTCATCACCAACTGGCAGCCAGAGGCGATTTCGGCGATCCTTGCCCAGGTGAGACCAATCGGACTCGAAAATGTGGTAGAATATGCGTCCCAATTGGTGCCCGCCTGCAAGCGCAATTACGCCGCTCCAACGGGCGAATGCTATGCGGCTCTCTGGGGGATCAGTCACTTTCGAGCTTACCTGTACGGGCGAAAATTCACCTTGGTGACTGATCATGAGCCCCTGTTTGCTCTGAAGAAGTCGAAGGATAACTCAGGCATGATCAACCGATGGGCAACAGTGTTGCAGCGCATGGACTTTGACATCCGCCATCGGAAGCACGAGAGACACAGGAATGCGGATGGGCTGACACGTCTTCATCGGCCTGAGAAGATTCCAAAGGGTGGGAAGGTGATTCCGTGAAACGAACCCGAACAGGAGATCGGACCTCGGTACGACTAAGTGGAGATCTTATCGAAGCAGTAAGTGGCACGAGGACTAATTGTTTTATTCTACCCTCCCTACATCCTCTCCTCCTCTAGCATCATGGCTACTCCACTCGCCTCCGCAACCCCTTCATCTCCTGCTAATACTGCCCCTCGCACGTCCTCTGCTTTCTTTGCCACCCTCTCCGATAAATTATGTTATTTTTGCACGTGCATTGCACGGGTTTATGGGGTTGACTGTCATCCCTTCGAAACAGGGTTTGTCGATTGGGTAGAATGTGCCACGTGTGTCAACCGTGCGCACGAGGCCTGCGTTCGATATCGGACAAATAGCAAGGAATGGAGGTGCCCCCTATGTAGAACGAACAAGCTCCCTCCGGAGGTTCGATTCGAGGCCGCCCGCACGGACAGACCTGAATACGACGAGAAATACCGACGAGCGGAAGTCTGGACGGATAAAATTTTATTGGCAAAATTAGCGGGATTATCATTGGGCCATCTCACCAAACACGACAGACGTAGGGCGACCGAGAGATCTCGGGACTATCGATGGATCAACGGTCATTTGGAAAAGCGTACAACTTACGGATCGGGTTCGTGGCTGACAGCTCCCCATCCCTTCCAAAGATACGATTGGATCCGATCTGCTCACGAGGAACAGGCAGCTCATTTCGCGATACGTGTCACGGAGGCAACTGTAGACCAGAATCGATGGTTCTGGTCCAATATACGAAGTGATGTAAAATACATTGTCGCTAACTGCCCGGTCTGTGCCGCTTATCGCGCCCCTATACGGGGACCAAACACCATCGTACCAACGGAAGTGGAGCGTCCTTTTCAGCGATTCAGTATGGACACGACAGATATTGACGTGCCACCTGGCCCAAACCGCTGTGAATAGTCTATTTTATTAGTATTAATTGACCACTTTTCCAAGTACATCGAGGTCTATCCCTGTAAGACCCAAAATGCCGCAGAAGTTGCCACGTACATCGAACGGTTTCTCTATACCCATCTAGATACGGAAGAAATTCTAACCGACAATGGATCTGAATTTAAAGGCGAGGTAGAAGAACTGCTTGCGTGGAGGGGCGTCGTGCTCCGACATACGACACCTCACGTGTCCCAGTCAAACGGGTTGGCCGAGAAAGCCAACCGTATGATTAAAACCGCCCTTCGCAGGAACTTAGCGGCACACGACACGCGTCCGTGGCCTGATATCGTATATCATATCGTCGGCATCCACCGGGCCACCCCTCACGAATCTACGGGGTTTACCCCCTTTCAGCTTCGAACTAATAGCCTCCCCTGTGTCGATTACCGGGGCAACTCGGGAATTGCCGAAGCAGGGGGTAGAGACACGCGTGCGGTCCTCAAGGCTAAGGCCAAAAGGTACACCGATTTGATGGAACGGGTCGTTCCAAAGCTAGCCCGAAAAAGACAAAGGATGACCGAGTTGGCCCATGGTAGACAGGTCCGTAGCTATGAAGCCCAGAATGGAAACGCTGGGCCCCAGTACCAATATAAGTTAGGGGACCTAGTGCAGGTACGTAAGTGTGCACGCGACCGAAAACTTGCTCCCAAGTATTCTGGTTGTTTTCGCGTAGTCGAGCTTGGACCCAACGGCGCTAACACGGTGCGCGTCGCGCCTGAGGCTAGTACCAGCCATAACTCTGTCCCCATCGTCCGACATACCTCCTACCTCCGTCTTCTTCCTCCTTCCGATCGTCCTCCCTCTTCTTCCTCGAAAAGCAAGGAGAACGACGACGATCTAACTTCCTCCCGTCTTTCTCCCTCTTGTCCTTCATCCTCCTCTCCGACCTCGCCATGAGTTTTATCACGGAGCGGGTTCTTGACATTCAGCTGTTGCAGCCACATGGCCACATCTCAGAGATTCGGCAAGTTTGTCACCCTCGGCTCAATACGGATCTTCGGTGTTTAATGCGATTTTTCTACAACGAAGGTATCTGTGCCGCCGCCACGTTTCGAATCGAAGGAAGCCCTCACGCGATAGTGTTCGCGAAGGTTACTGCAGTTCATCGGCGAGCGGGTCCCCGAACGAGCCACGTCACCATAGTGGCGGGATTCACCGGCGACATCAGCTCGGTCACTCCGCTGCGGCATACCGCGATCTTGGCCTCGCTGCGCGAGTGGACGGAGCAAGTGTCCAACGCGTGGCAGCACGTCCTCGCCCGGGAAGAGTATAACATCATCCCGATCGTTGCATCGGATATTGACGGTATTCGCCGATCACCACGCGAGCGGGCAGTTGCGATCCCGACCATCGTCCCCTTCCCCCGTCCCCAATGAACCACGCTGCTCGCCTCGCTCCTCTCTCTACCTTTGGCCTTCCCTCTCTCTTCCCCACCTTCTGGCAATCCGATCTTCACCCTTCTCTTTCCTTCTCATTCGAGCCTCTTCCAGTCCCTCTTATCATTCCTGGAATTTGGCGATTGTGGCGCGAAACTTTTGAGGAGCTGTCCTTTTGCTTGGCCAGAGTACAAGTGACGTGGACGCACTAGCGAGCATCCCACGTGGATCGAGAATCCGGAGTTGTTGATCATACAGGGTTGGAGGACTAACGCTGAAGGAGATCTCATTGGATTCCTCTTTGGGTCGGTACGACCGGGGCGCCGTCACTTGATAGCACAGGAGCTCATCGCACCGATCGTGCAATTGGCGGACGATCTCTCGCCCGACATTTACTTTCAAAACGACAACAGTCCCGCTCCGTACATTTTCGAGCGGTCCTTGGATCCGTACCTCCAGTGGACTTCATGCTTGGAGGAACCTAGGGACGAGGATACCCTACCATCGCGGCAGAAGTATCTGAAGCCGTACGAGATCCCGTACGCCTTCTACCCGAGGGCAGAAGAAGTGGTGATCAACGACGACGACGAAGAAGAAGATGGCGACCCTGCAGCCGTCACCTCAAGTACCACGCGACGGAGACGGCGCCGATCCCCCTCCTCCTCCAGCCCCACCCGTGCCCCAGTTCGCCCACGTACCGATGCGGGCGATAGGCCTTCGTCCTCGGACGCTGTCCCGCCGGCCCCTTGATTTCCTCACCCTCGAACAGATCCGTACCCCCATCTATGCTGGCATCTCCTGCTGTTCACCACTGCATGGGAGCAAAGCAACGTCGTAGAAGTCTATTGTCTTGCCACGGGGACAATCCCCCCCTGTCGCCACTTCGAGAACTTTCGAGCGGCACTTTTCCACACCCTCTCCTCCTTCTATCGCGATTACCTCGCTTCCCTCCCCCACACTGGCGATCATTTCCCCCGCTTCCATCGAATCATCCGATACGAGGAGCTCCCAGTGACGATGGAAGGGATGAATCGCTTCCTACCCCCACTCCCTCCCCGTCATCCCCGCGAAATCCCCGGCATGTACCGCCTCTACTGGCCCATTCCAACTAGGCGGTGGTAGATCCCATTCGCTTGACTCCCCCCCCTCCTCCCTTCATCGGCCCGAATCAGTAAGCTTCGCGAAGATCACGCCATCGACGATGACGTCAACCTATGCGCTGATTCGACGAACTGCAACGAGCAGGGGTGCAGAGCACACGGAGATCAGGTGGACCATGATGGCGTCACCTGGACAATCTCCACGAAGCAGAGGGTTGCATATGACAGGGCTTTGGAGATCTTGCCACGGATGTTGTCGCCATCTCATCCGCGGCTCAGTTATCGTTCCTTGTAATTCTTCCGGAAGCTCTGTTGATATGATTGGTTCCTCATGCATCACTCTGTTCTTTCCTTTTCTCTCTCCTTCTCCGCCATAACATGCAATCAGGAGATCGCATAATTTTGGTACCCCCAACTCGTCACATATGTGACGAACCACTTCCCGACCCCGTGCCATTTTTCGTACCCTTTCTTTTGCTTATATCACACCAACACCAGGAAAACCCCGTTTCGAGTTTTTGTTTTCGGAGGTCGCATTTTCCTTTTTCTGAGAGCTTTTTCGACTTCTGAGTTCTGTTTTTCTTTTTGCNCCAGGAAAACCCCGTTTCGAGTTTTTGTTTTCGGAGGTCGCATTTTCCTTTTTCTGAGAGCTTTTTCGACTTCTGAGTTCTGTTTTTCTTTTTGCAAGACGGGAAATACATGGGAATTTACGTGCGCCTTAGCGAGCGCACWGGGAATTGGGCTCGGCAGTTGGRAATTYCGGGATAAGCGGAACTTCGATGTGTCCTTTTTGGGTGTGTAAATGTTCTTGGGCGCGCCAGGGAAAATTTTCGAAATTTCRTCCGGACACGAATAAGCGTAGGATTTTCTTTTCCCGCGTTGCTTTTTCGCGCGCGGATATGGTGATTTCAATTTTGAATTARGAGCCARCTGTAACTGTTTCGGTGCCTTTTTCTTTTKTTGACGGCGYCGTGCATGCAAAAGCTTCTTCCTCTCTGTCCCCCRCATCACCCCCCCCCRCGCCTCCCTTMCCTTCTCCCTCYTTTTTCTCTCTTCCGGTAACTGTTTTTTTTCTTCTCCCTCTCTCTCTCCCGCCTTGCTTTCGAGCGCCCATTTCCCTTTCTCGATCATCTGAATCTTGGACCCRTTTTGCGCCACCTCTCGCRCCTTTTCTCTTCTCACCCTCTGARCCGGGCGTACGACGCGCAATCAATCCCCCGATAACTCCCGCTCGCCAATCAGGTGCGTGGATCGATAGGACCTTCCTATCGCGCGACGAATCTGATTGGTTGAACCTTGAGTTCCGAGGGATCAGCATGGCGTTCGTAGAGCACTCGTCTCAAAGTCTTCTCCTCCTTCTCCTCTTACACCTCAGCTTTCMTGTCGCCTTCTCCCCCTTCTATCTCCCCTGTCGCAACTATAAAACCCGCAAGCGCGTCCGCAGATCTCTCTTACGTTCTCGACTCTCCAGCYAGCTTCCRGGAAGCAGTGGCTAGGTRGAGTGTTTGATGCGAGTCGAAGATTCCTGTCGGGCTGACGATAGGCTGGCCGSTTGCGCGCCTGATCGCCACGACGGACTGTGGGATCCGGGCGAACCGTGTCGAGTTTACGACAGCGGGGTGACGATCGCAACGGTGGGARTTAGCACGCGAYGGCTGGGATCGTCGGTGCGGGTATGAGGATCGATGTTGAGTTGATTGGCCCGGGGCCAAATTGGAATTAATGGTGTATGCGCCTTTGCTGCGGATTGTTATCTTTGACGTGAGTGTACGGCGGTGACGCCGAACTCTTCTCTTTTTGGATCTTGTCATCTTCTATTTTGGACTTTCTTTCCCTCGACTCTCTCTCTCTCTCTCCCTTTTTGAATAATGATGYGTCTGAATGATTGTCCCTCTCTTAAATGGGAATGAGTTGGCCTCCTGTTCCGGCGTAAAAAAAACTCCTTCCAGAACTCTTCCATTAGTTTCCTGGATAATCCTCCTACGTAAGGACCCCGTCTACTTGTCTTGTGAACGGTGAATGTGTATGTACTGTGCGATGGGATTCAACTTTTTCCGTGAATGT